GACTCTTGAGAATCCCTTGGACTGCAAGGAGATCCAACCAGTCCATCCTGAAGGAGATAAGTCCTGGGTGTTCACTGGAAGGACTGATGTTGAAGCTGAAACTCCAGTACTTTGGCCACCTCATGCGAAGAGTTGACTTGTTGGAAAAGACCCTGATGCTGGGAGGGATTGGGGGCAGGAGGAGAACGGGGCAACAGAGGATGAGATGGCTAGATGGCATCACCAACTCGATGGGCATGAGTTTGAGTAAACTCTGGGAGTTGGTGATGGACAGGGAGGCCTGGCGTGCTGCGATTCATGGGGTTGCAAAGAGTTGGACACGACTGAGCGACTGAACTGAACTGATACTATACTAAGATACATTGGTGTGTTTGAAACAGATGACAATGATAATAATAAGCTATTTGTTGAGGAATTAATAAGACATTGTGATAAATACTCTATATGCATTATTTCATTCAATCCTGACAACATCCGTATGATTGTTTTCCTTTTTACATACAAGAAAGCTAAAAACCAGAGGTAATATATGACACAAGGACATATAGTTATTAAGAGTTGGAGAAGATCTTCACGAGGATATTATGTCTGACTCCAAAAGCTGAAGATAAGTATAACTACTGCAATGCCCATATAGAATAAAGAGTTTACAAAATATCAAGGAAAGATATTCTAAGTAGTAAGAACCATATAACCAAGAACCTGAGAGAGAAACTAGAAAGTACATACAAGAACTTTCTATGTAATTCAATACCAGCTCTGTGTGAGAGATAAGCACTCCCAAGAGCCACAAATAAACTCTTTTGATCTGCTCTGTCCAATACAGTAGCCACTAGTCATCCTTGCCAACTGAGCATTTGTAATGTAACTAGTCCAAATTGAGACATGCTATAAATGTAAAATACACGCTAGATTTCAAAGATTTACAAGAAAGTGAAATAACTCACTAGTTTTTTATGTGTAATTATATATTGAAATTTCAATTATGTAGAAGCTTTATACAGTCAGCAAAAATAAGACAGGGGCCTGATTGTGGCTCAGATCATGACCTGCTTATTGCCAAATTCAGACTTAAAATGAAGAAAGTAAGGAAAACCAGAAGACCATTCAGGTATGACCTAAATCAAATCCCTTACAATTATACAGTGGAAGTGACAAATAGATCCAAGGGATTAGATCTGATAGAGTGCCAGAAGAACTATGGATAGAGGTTCAAGACACTGTACAGGAGGCTGTGATCAAGACCATCTCCAAGAAAAAGAAATGCAAAAAGGCAAAATGGTTGTCTGAAGAAACCTTACAAATAGCTGAGAAAAGAAGAAAAGCTAAAGGCAAAGGAGAAAAGGAAAGATATACACATCTGAATGCAAAGTTCCAAGGAATAGCAAGGAGAGGTAAGAAAGCCTTCCTCCGTGATCGATGCAAAGAAATGGAGGAAAACACTAGAACGGGAAATACTAGAGATCTCTTCAAGAAAATGAGAGATACCAAGGGAACATTTCATGCAAAGATGGGCACAATAAAGGACAGAAATGTTAAGGACCTAAAAGAAGCAGAAGATATTAAGAAAAGGTGGCAAGAAAACACAAAAGAACTATACAAAAAAATCTTAGTGACCCAGATAACCACGATGGTGTGATCACTCACCTACATCCAGACATCCTGCAATGCAAAGTCAAGTGAGCTTTAGGAAGCATCACTACAAACAAAGCTAGTGAAGGTGATGGGATTCCAGCTAAGCCATTTCAAATCCTAAAAGATGATGCTGTGAAAGTGCTGCACTCAATATGCCAGCAAATTTGGAAAACTCAGCAGTGGCCACAGGACTGGAAAAGGTCAGTTTTCATTCCAATCCCAAAGAAAGGCAATGCCAAAGACTGTTCAAACTACGGCACAATTGCAAGCATCTCACACGCTAGCAAAGTAATGCTCAAAATTCTCCAAGCCAGGCTTCAACAGTATATGAACCAAGAACTTCCAGATGTTCAAAGCTGGATTTAGAAAAGGCAGAGGAACCAGAGATCAAATTGCTAACATCCACTGCATAAAAGGAAAAGCAAGAGAGTTCCAGAAAAACATTTACTTCTGCTTTACTGACTATGCCAAAGCCTTTGACTATGTAGATCACAACAAACTCTGGAACATTCTTAAAGAGATGGGAATACCAGAACACCTGACCTGCCTCCTGAGAAATGTGTATGCAGGTCAAGAAGCAACAGTTAGAACTGGACATGAAACAACGGACTGGTTCTAAATCGAGAAAGGAGTACATCAAGGCTCTATATTGTCACCCTGCATATTTCACTCATATATAGAGTTCATCACGCAAAATGCCGGGCTGGATGAAACACAAGCTGGAATCAAGATTGCCAGGAGAAATATCAATAGCTTCAGATATGCATATGACACCACCGTTATGGCAGAAAGTGAAAAGGAACTGAAGAGCCTCTTGAGGAAAGTGAAAGAGGAGAGTGAAAAAGTTGGCTTAAAACTTATCATTCAAAAAACTAAAATCATGGCATCTGGTCCCATCACTTCATGGCAAATAGATGGGGAGACAATGGAAACAGACTTTATTTTCAGACTTTATTTTCTTGGGCTCCAAAATCCTTGCAGATGGTGACTGCAGCCATGAAATTAAAAGACACTTGCTCCTTAGAAGAAAAGCTATGACAAACCTAGACAGCATATTAAAAAGAGACATATAAAAAATAGTTACTTTACTGACAAAGGTCTATCTAGTCAAAGCTATGGTTTTTCCAGTAGTCATGTATGGATGTGAGTTAGACCATAAAGAAAGCTGAGTGCTGAAAAATTGATGCTTCTGCAACTGTGGTGTTGGAGAAGACTCTTGAGAGTCCCTTGGACTGCAAGGAGATCAAACCAGTCCATCCTAAAGGAAATCAGTTCTGAATATTCACTGAAAGGACTGATGCTGAAACTGAAGTTCCAATACTTTGGCCACCTGCTGAGAAGAACTGACTCATTTGAAAAGACCCTGATGCTGGGAAAGACTGCAGGCAAGAGGAGAAGGGGATGACAGAGGATGAGATGGTTGGATGGCATCACCAACTTGATGATAATGAGTTTGAGCAAGCTCCACGTGTTGGTGATGGACAGGGAAACCTGGCATGCTGCAGGCCATGGGGTCACAAAGAGTTGGACACAATGGAGCAACTGAAGTGAACTGACATACTGAAATAACATTTTTAATATATTTGGTAATGTAACATGCATTATTAAAATTAATTTACTATTTTTTAAATGGGTTACAATAACATTTAAAAATTACTAATGTGGCTCCTATTGCCTTTCTATTGGATGGCACTACTAGACACCATCTTCCAAATCTATCTGAATTCTTTTCACTCCTTTTCATCTCTACTGCAATAACCCTATTCTGGACCCCTTGATCTTTTGGTAGTACCACAACACCCTAAGCATTCCCTGTGTTTTTACTTGTTTGCTTCCAATGTATTCTCTCTATAAGAGCCAAAATAGTTTCTTTAAAAATAATTTAATCATGTTATCCTCCTGTTGATAAATTGTCCAATGATGTCCCACTGTACTTTAAATAAAATTCAAACTTCTTACCACAGCCTCCAAAGCCCCCATATAACTTCAGCCCTGACTAACTTTCCAAAGTCAACTTGTACCACAATGCTGGTCTCCTCTCAGTTTTTTTTAACATACCAAGTTTATTCCTAACTTAAGACCTTTGCTCATGCCATTATTTCTGCCTGAAATGCTCTTTCCCTCACTCTTTCCACAGCTAGGTTTTCTCCTTTCAGGTCTTGACTTAAGACCTTCCCAAAGAGACACTCCCCAACCACACTGCTGAAACATGTTCCTTCCCTTAGTCACCACAATTTGAAATTATGTGTGTGTGTCTATGTTCTTGTTTTATTTAACAACTAACTCCCCCACTAGAATGTGAGCTCCATGAGGGCCGAGGACAATATGTAATTCAACAAACCCTGAATCTACTGGTAGGCACTCAACTTAAATGAATAAATGACTAATATAATGAATGTCACTACTAAAGTAATTTTGAAATAAATATAAAAGCATACTAATAGAGATTAGTATATGAATTAATTCTAATCTTTGTAGAATTGTTTGGTCTACTATCATTTATAATATTAAGCAAACTAATCTTTGGCAACTAAATGTAATGCTCAGATGCTTAATCATTCTAAGGTAACAAAAATATTTAAGAAAAATCTTATTTTGGATTCAAGAACTTGCACTGTTAACAATACTTACAATGTTGGCATTCCACGTAGTCTAAACTATGCCATAAATACGATAACAAATCTTTAAATATTTTAGTCAGGGACAGTCTCCCTTTGTATAGTCTCATCCCACTCCAAATTATTTTCCATACTATTGGATGGAATTATGTTTTCATAAAATCTTTCAGACCAATCGACATCTCAAGAGGATGAATTAAAAACAAAATATCAAATCTAGCATTTCAAAATCTTTTGAGGAAAAAATACCAGACAAAAATATCAAACAGAATATCAATGATAAATCATCCCTGATCCACATAGAAATGAATAAAAAATATCCATATAGAAATGCACCAAGAAAATGGAGGTGAAAGGTAACCACAAATGTCTTACTCTTCCACTAACTTCAGTTCAAAGTCGAATTCTGCTTATTACAAATGTACAGCACAGTGATCACAGAACATTAACAGTTGTCAAGTGCCGAGAAATTAGTTCTTCTGTACTAGAATGTCAGAAAGTACATTTTACTTTACATTTTACTACTAAAGGCTTTAATAATAAATTTTTTGAGAAAACTCCAAATTTATTCTACTATCAGGGGTTCACTCTATGATGGTGATATTTCACTTCAGCTAATTATTGATTTTAACACTGGAGCAATCATCCTAAGTATATTCAGTTCACTCAAGATAAACAAATATCATCTATATATAGAGAGAAGACACCATCGTCATAAAATTAGAATATTACAGAATATTACATTACCTGTCTGTGAGAGGCTGGGAGGGCATTCTTTTACTCAATGATGGAAGATCCAGAGAATCTGGTTTCTTATCCATTCTGCAACATGCTTGGATATTTAAGTATTTAAATATGTGTACTTTACCTTTTAAACATATCTGTCAATAAATAATAGAGTAAGATTATAGTTCCAAATATAAAGTCATTTACCAATTTATTAATAAATTTTAATAACTTCAAATTACTCTGAGATATAACAATCATGATAGATACTTTACATATCTAAATACTTTGTACTTTGGACACTAGGTGAAAAAATCTGACAGCCCTGACAATAACTAAAACTATTGTGGTCTCTGTTCTTATTAGAAAAAACTAAGTCAATTTTTCTGTATTTCCCTGAACTATTTTGTTAAAAGCACAATGTACAAACCACTAAACAATATAAAATTTATAATTCATAAAAGTTGCCTTCACTAGAAAAAATGCTGCTGCTGCTGCTGCTGCTGCTAAGTCGCATCAATCATGTCCAACTCTGTGTGACCCAAGACAGCAGCCCACCAGGCTCCTCCATCCCTGGGATTCTCCAGGCAAGAATACTCGAGTGGGTTGCCATTTCCTTCTCCAGTGCATGAAAGTGAAAAATGAAAGTGAAGTCCCTCAGTCGTGTCCGACTCCTCATGACCCCATGGACTCTAGCCCACCAGGCTCCTCCATCCATGGGATTTCCCAGGCAAGAGTACTGGAGTGGGTTGCCATTGCCTTCTCCAGAAAAAATGAAAAGAAATATATTCATTGTAGTGGTAAGAACAGAAGAAAAATAAAAAAACAACGCATGTAATTCTTTAAAGTAACCTCATCAGAACCACTAAGTCTAAACACTGCAAGAAAGTTAATCAAACGAATGCAAATACAGGATAAATTTGTTGAAAGGTGTGATGGTAAGCCACTTAAAATAAAACAAAACAAATTTTTAAATGGTCAATTCAACTAATATAATATCCAGGAAAATTATTTTCATTGGTAATAAAGAAAAAGAATAATGAGGGGGAAAATACTGTGTGAAAGAAAGTATTTTACATAAAAAGATAAACTAATGAGCAGTAGGGAAGCAATAAGTTGGCTTTACAAAGGATAACTGCAGTCACCATAAATGTTATCAAATAAATATTTCTCAAAATTTAGAATAGAAAATGTTGTTTTATGGATGCACATAACCTAGCAACACACAAAAACAATCAATAAAGAAAAAAATAGAAATAGCACATTAAAACGTAATTATCCTTCCAGGTAGAAAGAAAAAACGGTTCTTAGATAAATCTAATAGATACCAGGTCTGACCTGACCATTGAAAAATTTCATTTAAAAGGAAAACGTAAACCATTTGTGCTTTAGAATATAAATATATTACCAATTAAAATGTATCCTATTATCCATCCAAATTTGTAAAAATTATCTATTTCCAAATTAAATGCTGATAAATTACTTTTGTAAATTTAATTTATATCATCATAATTCACAGACAGTTTTAAAATTAAAGAGAATTATAAAACATCTAACAAAAAATTAAGCCCCTGTTCCACTCCTTTCAATTTCTAAGACCCAGTCCCCACATTTAACTCTTTCAGTTGGTTTCTGCTTTTTACCTTCATATTTATAAATAACATGGTTCTAGTGGTATTTTTTATTTTTCAATTATAGATTTTATTTATCAAGGTCTTACTAAGGAACATGAGGACTTAGATTTCTTGTGTTATCACTACCACTGACATACCAGATAGATGGGCCCCAGGCTGAACAGCTGAAATCTATCCCCTGTGGACAGATACTTCAAGATAAAGATAATGGCAGGAACAAGGAGGAGCTGAGTCCTGCTTGAACTTGGATAGAAGATAAAGAGACCACATATTTCTCATTCTTAAGGTCAAAGAGGCCTCTCTGACTACACATGTGCAGAAAGGTTCCTCAGTAGATCAGAGAAGGGAGAGGGCACCAGACCATAATATGCTCTTCTTCCCAGAAGCCCTTGCCTTGGAATCCATCTTGGCTAAGAGATGCACACACACACACACACACAGGGGAGGACCCTGAGTTAAACCAAATAGGAATTCAGAGCCAGGCAAAAGCAAGATGACTGGCCAAAGGAGATTTGGAAAAAGTGCCCTATATGAATGATTTAGGGCTGGTGTGCTCCTCCTCACTGGTGGGGGGTGGGGGAGCGAGGCGAGGGTGCTCGGGGTCTGCCACACACTTTCTCTCCAGGTATGTATCTCTGCCTTGCTTCTGTCTTAAACAAACTGTTTCTCTGTGTGCTCTCCAACTTGTGTGTGTTAGTCGCTGAGTTGTGTCCAACTCTTTGCAACCCCATGGACTGTACCCCACCGGGCTCACCTGTCCATGGACATGTCCAGGCAAGAATATTGGAGTGGGTTGCCATACCCTTCTCCAGGGGACCTTCCCCACCCAGGAATCGATCCTAGGTCTCCTGCATTGCAGGCAGATTCTTTATCGTCTGAGCCACCAGGGAAGTGCTGTGTCTCTAATAAAAAACTATGTACCTGTTTTTCCAATTTTTGCCTCATTGAAACATTCTTACTTTCAAACAAGGGCAAGAGCCAGGGAAATTTTGCTTCTAGCCTCTAGGCAGAGGTTCAATTCCTAGACAGGGAACTAAGATGTTGCTTCAAGCCACTGCTCACTGCCATCTGCATGAGATCACCACCACTATCACATATCATCAAACCACCATATTCGCATCACCAATCCCTATCAACTCATATAAACATACTTCCTTCCTCTTCAGAAGCATAACATAGTGGTTGGAACATGAAATCTGGAGTTAAGATTGCCTTGGTTTGAAACCAGGCTCCCCACATGCTAGTCATGTGACTTTGGACACGACAGGACACAGCTACAGCTCTGTTTTCTCTTATATAAAATGAAGTATAATGACAGTATCTATTTTATAGGGTTGCTGTAAGAAATGAGTGAATGCATGTAAAGCATTTCCAATACAGTGCTTAGAGCATGGTAAGTGCCATATAAATCTTTGATATTATTACATCTATGTCACAATTTTTCATTATATCAAAATCTTGTATTTATAACAATATGACTAAGAAAGCAGTCACAGATGGACCACAGAGGTTAGATTCATTTCCTAAGTTTTTATTTTTCCTAAAGCGACTACTTGTCCCATTTTTCTACTTTGTTTAATTTTCTGATGTGAAGAACTGACTCACTGGAAAAGACCCTGATGCTGGGAAAGATTGAAGGCAGGAGGAGAAGAGGATGACAGAGGATGAGATGGCTAGATGGCATCACCGACTCAATGGACATGACTTTGAGTAAGCTCCGGGAGTTGGTGATGGACAGGGAAGCCTGGTGTGCTGCAGCCCATGGGGTCGCAGAGTCGGACATGACTGAGCAACTGAACTGAACTGTTAATTTTCTGTGTGCCTACTATTAATTCATTCCTGACTCTGACAGAACGGCAAAATGTCTCTCCATATTGATAAATACATCAAGTCAGCTATCAACTTCTTTATTGTTTTTCTATTTTCTTTTGGGAGACAACCCTTTCCCCACCAAACTGATTGGTTGCTAGACTCTAGGTCCATGCATACCAGTCTGTCTTAGACATGAAGAATTCTTCTTAATTTGTTCCTTCATTTTGATATAGTACACCCTCTACTGGCTTTCTAGTCAAGTGTGCAGGAGAGCTAAAATTTCTGAGATCTATCTTACAATTGACTGATAGTTTGACTTTACAAATTTGAGAATATTCCTTCAGTCACTGAAGGCATCATTCTAACATCTTCTAGTTCCCCATGCTGCTGCTAAGAAGTCATTCTGATTACCACCGCTATGAATGTGACCCATTTTGTCTTCATGGAAGCCTTTCAGTCTCTGCTTTCATGTTAGAAATTATTTCTACAATGTCTAGTGATCCATGGATGTCTGTTCATTTTCAAAAGAAAAATGATAAGAAGTCAAATGGAAGCTCTGTGTAAGAAGGAGAAGTTTATCAATGATCAGCCCGTGTCTAAAGAACAGATCGTGACTGTACACTGCTTCAGGGGGCTGCCAATGATCAGTATACCTACAGGTCTTTTCTCATAGCTCAATCAGTCTACCAAGAGAGAAATCATCCATCCTAAGTCACACGAGAGACACTGTAAGCATTCTGGGAGCCAAGCAAGAGAAGTCTACCGACACTCCCAACATTCAGTATATATGCATTCAGTATTGTCAATATGGGATCTCATTCGTGCCCATAGCTGTACCTGCAGCCCCTAACTCTGGTTGAGTCTCTCTAGAGCTGTGCTATCCAATATAGTAATCACTAGCCACATGTGGCTATTTAATCTAAATGAAACTAAAAATGCAATAATTCAATCACACTATATACTTTCAAGTGCTCAATAGCCACTTGTGGCTACCATATAGGACAGTACAAATATAGAACATTTCCATCATTACAGCAAGTTCAAATAGAGAGCACTGCTCTAAAGAGTAAACTCCAGGCTTATGCTGAGGGAAGGAATGATACTCATTTCGCTGATGAGCTGAGGAAGAGCATCTGAGAGAATTCACCTACTCCTCAGAGTAAACCCGAGGTTTCTGCTAAGGCAAGGGAGGGGAAGTCATGTAGCTGCAAACCTAAGGGCAAAATCAGTGCAAATTTAGGCCTGTATTGTTGAATATATAAACAACTAGTCATGTAAAATTATTGAAATTTCAATTAATAAAAATAAAATTAAAGTGAAAATTTTGTTCCTTAGTCACACTAGCCATATATCAAGTACTCAATAGTAATAGAAGAAAACAACAGAATGGGAAAGGCTAGAAAATGAGAGATACCAAGGGAACATTTCATGCAAAGATGGGCACAATAAAGGACAGAAATGTTAAGGACCTAACAGAAGCAGAAGATATTAAGAAAAGGTGGCAAGAAAACACAAAAGAACTATACAAAAAAGATCTTAGTGACCCAGATAACCACGATAGTGTGAACGTTCACTCACCTACAGCCAGACCACGATAGTGTGAACGTTCACTCACCTACAGCCAGACATCCTGCAATGCAAAGTCAAGTGGGCCTTAGGAAGTATCACTAAAAACAAAGCTAGTTGAAGGGGATGGGATTCCAGCTAAGCTATTTCAAATCCTAAAAGAGGATGCTGTGAAAGTGCTGCACTCAATATGCCAGCAAATTTGGAAAACTCAGCAGTGGCCACAGGACTGGAAGAGGTCAGTTTTCATTCCAATCCCAAAGAAAGGCAATGCCAAAGACTGTTCAAACTACGGCACAATTGCAAGCATCTCACATGCTAGCAAAGTAATGCTCAAAACTCTCCAAGCTAGGCTGCAACAGTACGTGAACTGTGAACTTCCAGATGGTCAAAGCTGGATTTAGAAAAGGCAGAGGAACCAGAGATCAAATTGCCAACATCCGTTGGATCATAGAAAAAGCAAGAGAATTCCAGAAAAACATCTACTTCTGCTTCATTGACTATGCCAGAGCCTTTGACTGTGTGGATCACAACAAACTGTGAAACATTCTTAAAGAGATGGGAATACCCAACCACCTGACCTGTCTCCTGACAAACTTCTATGCAGGTCAAGAAGCAAGTTAGAAACGGACATGAAAGAGTGAACTGGTTCCAAATTGAGAAAGGAATACATCAAGGCTGTATATTGTCACCCTGCATATTTCACTTATATAGAGAGTACATCATACAAAATGCTGGGCTGGATGAAGCACAAGATGGAATCAAGATTGCCAGGAGAAATATCAATAACCTCAGACATGCAGAAGACACCATCATTATGGCAGAAAGCGAAAAGGAACTGAAGAGCCTCTTGAGGAAAGTGAAAGAGGAGAGTAAAAAAGCTGGCTTCAAACTCAACATTCAAAAAACTAAAATCATGGCATCCAGTCCCATCACTTCATGGCAAATAGATGGGAAAACAATGAAAACAGTGACATAATTTATTTTCGTGGGTTCCAAAATCCCTGCAGATGGTGACTGCAGCCATGAAATTAAGATACTTGCTCCTTGGAATAAAAGCTATGACATACCTAGACAGCATATTGCAGAGAAGGCAATGGCACCCCACTCTAGTACTCTTGCCTGGAAAATCCCATGGACGGAAGAGCCTGGTGGGCTGCAATCCATGGGGTCACTACGAGTCAGACACGATTGAGCGACTTCACTTTCACTTTTCACTTTCATGCACTGGAGAAGGACATGGGAACCCACTGCAGTGTCCTTGCCTGGAGAATCCCAGGGATGAGGGAGCCTGGTGGGCTGCCTTCTATGGGATCACACAGAGTCGGACATGACTGAAGCTACTTAGCAGCAGTAGCAGCAGACAGCATATTGGAAAGGAGAGACATTACTTTACTGACAAATGTCCGTCTAGTCAAAGCTATGGTTTTTCTAGTAATCATGTGTAAATGTGAGAGTTGGACCATAAAGAAGTTCAGTTCAGTTCATTTCAGTTCAGTCAGTCATGTCCAACTCTTTGCAACCCCATTGACGCCAGGCTTCCCTGTCCGTCACCGACTCCCGGAGCTTGCTCAAACTCATGTCCACTGAGTCGGAGATGTCATCCAACCATATCATCCTCTGTCGTCCCCTTCTCCTCCTGCCCTCAATCTTTCCCAGCATCAGGGTCTTTCCAAACGAGTCAGCTCTTCCCATAAGGTAGCCAAAGTATTGGCGTTTCAGCTTCAACATTAGTCCTTCCAATGAATATTCAGCACTGATTTCCTTTAGGATTGACTGGTTGGATCTCCTTGCAGCCCAAGGGACTCTCAAGAGTCTCTCCAACACCACAGTTCAAAAGCATCAATTCTTCGGCGCTCAGCTTTCTTTATAGTCCAACTCTCACATCCATACATGACTACTTGAAAAACCATAGCCTTGACTAGACAGACCTTTGTGGACAAAGTAATGTCTCTGCTTTTTAATATGCTGTCTAGTTTGGTCACAACTTTCCTTCCAAGGAGCAAACGTCTTTTAGTTTCATGGCTGCAATCACCATCTGCAGTGATTTTAGAGCCCCCCAAAATAAATTCAGCCACTGTTTCCACTGTTCCCCCATCTATTTCCCATGAAGTGATGGAACCGAATGCCATAATCTTAGTTTTCTGAATGTTGAGTTCTAAGCCAACTTTTTCACTCTCCTCTTTCACTTTCATCAAGAGGCTCTTTAGTTCTTCTTCACTTTCTGCCATAAGGGTGATGTCATCTGCATATCCGAGGTTATTGATATCTCTCCCAGCAATCTTGATTCTAGCTTGTGCTTCATCCAGCCCAGCGTTTCTCATTATGTACTCTGCATATAAGTTAAATAAGCAGGGTGACAATATACAGCCTTGATATACTCCTTTCCCGATTTGGAACCAGTCTGTTGTTCCATGTCCAGTTCTAACTGTTGCTTCCTGACCTGCATACAGATTTCTCAAGAGGCAGGTCAGGTGGTCTGGTATTCCCATCTCTTTCAGAATTTTCCACAATTTGTTGTGATCCACACAGTCAAAGGCTTTGGCATAGTCAATAAAGCAGAAGTAGATGTTTTTCTGGAACTCTCTTGCTTATTCCATGATCCAATGGATATTGGCAATTTGATCTCTGGTTCCTCTACCTTTTCTAAATCCAGCTTGAACATCTGGAAGTTCACGGCATAAAGAAGGCTGAGTGCCAAAGAACCGATGCTTTTGAACTGTGGTGTTGGAGAAGACTCTTGAGAGTCCCTTGGATGACAAGGAGATCAAACCAGTCAATCCTAAATTAAATCAATCCTGAATATTCATTGGAAGGACTGATGCTGAAGCTGAAGCTCCTATACATGGCTACCTGATGTGAAAGGTGAACTCATCGGAAAAGACCCTGATGCTTGGAAAGACTAAAGGCAGGAGAAGTACACAACAGAGGATGAGGTGTTTGGATGGCATCACCGACTCAATGGACTTGAGTTTCAGCAAGCTCTGGGAGATGGTGAAAGACAGTGAAGCCTGGCATGCTGCAGTCCATGGGGTCACAAAGGGTCTGACATGACTGAGCGAATGAACGATAGTAGTGGACATCACAAATTATACAATATTTCCATTATTTAGAAAGTTCTATTCAATAGCAGAGCCTTAGATATTCTACAGACCTTCATGTTTTCAGTCTTTCATCCCTGTATTTAGTTACATGTTTCATTCAATAATCACCAAAGAAACACCCGAGCCATTCCCAAATTTAACACAGTAAAATCAACTTGCTTCTTGCTGCCTTCTCCCATAGCAGACACAGGTTTTGGGTTTCCCCATCCTGCTATGGTAGCTCTACCAGGACTCCAGCCAGCTTTTAGTATTTGAATTTAGAAAAAAGACACTCACTTGCAATGAGTAGAATGCACCTTTGTAGGAAAAGAGAAAAAAACAAAGGCACTCTTCTGGATGTATACAAACCCAGCACCAGAGCATATAGCTTGGAAATAGAGTACAGACTAGCATTTCACTACCATGTGCCTCCAAAATCAGATACTCTTGTGCAGTGTAAGTGGAGATCCTAGTTACCACTATTTCACCTATTTTCCATTTTCCAAAATTCTGTTGCCATCTCTCCCCTGCTGTCCTCTTCTCTCTCAATCTTTGTCTTCATGGGTTTATAGTTTAGTGTACTCCTTTATTATCATTTTAGTGGATTCCACATGAATTTAATTCTCAAACTAAAAGTCAAACCAATCAGTCCCAAAGGAAATCAACCCTGAATATTCACTGGAAGGACTGATACTGAAGCTGAAGCTCCAAAACTCTGGCCACCTGATGCGAAGAGCCAATTCATTGGAAAAGACCCTGATGCTAGGAAAGATTGACGGCAGGAGGAGAAGAGGGCAACAAAGGATGAGATGATTGGATGGCATCACCGATTCAATGGATATGAGTGAGCAAGCTCTGGGAGACAGTAAGGGACAGGGAAGCTTGGCGTGCTTCAGACCATGGGGTTGCAAAGTCAGACATGACTGAGTGACTGAACAAAAAAGTAGGTTTTCAACTTGAATCTTTCTGTTATGATTCCACTTTTTGGTGCTAAAAATGTATTCCAATCAATCACACAACAAATCTCAAGTAAATATATATCTGAGTAGGAAAGAGGTAGACAGAATCCTTAGTCTATCCCTTTAAAATAACACAAACCACCAGAATTATCACTTCACAAGCAGAAAGTCGGTATCTGGGTTATCCAAATCCTCTTCTCCAGAAACGAAGCTAAACCTCCTACCAAAGTGAAAAAGCCACTTCTCAGAAAAAAACACTTTTGATAGTAATACCTCAAAAATAAACTGACTCCTAATTCTGATGCTTTTGTATTTACCAGAAACATATAATTCTGAATAAAAATAAAAGAAGCAAGTATCATTATTGTTTTAAATTACAAACCTGTGCTGGTGGTACTTGCAAAGGATTGTTATCCAAAATTATTACTTGTAAATGATGCAGCTTCCTGTAACAAACTGGAATTTCGGTCACTTTATTACAAGAGAAATCCAGCTTGACTAAGGGAAGATCTCCTAATTCTGTTCAGAAACAAAAATTATTTAATTAAATTCTATACAGTTATTCTCTTATTCATGTGAGTAAGAACAGTGAGCATCTTACCATCTGGTAATGCTTGAAGATTATTTCTTCTTATATTTAGCTCTCTAAGTGACTGTAATTTTCCCATTTGTTGGGGAAGAACCTGAATCTCATTGCAGCTAATATCCTAAGGAAAAAAGAAAATAAAATTATAACAAACTAATAGAGAAATAGTGATATATTTCTACTTTTTAATTAAAGCACATGGCTAATAGCTAGCAAGTCACATCCAATGTAATTTCTCTAAATATGGATTATCTGGCAGATTTATATTTATGTTACATCATGAAATCAATCCAGCACAATTAACATAAATTTTTTGTGTAAAAGTGTGAGGTTATAACTTAGTAATACATAAGTCAGCATTTTGAAAATCTCAACTAAAGACCACTCTTACCAACTAAAACCAGAAGGTGCTCTTCATTCACAGGTAAAATGAAAGAGAACTATCAATCACTGGGATAATTTGTCAATTATAGTATTGTTTGGGCTTCCCTGGTGACTCAGACGGTAAAGAATCTGCCTGCAATGAGGGAGATCTGGGTTTGGGTTGGGAAGACCCCCTGGAGGAGCACATGGCAACCCACTCCAGTATTCTTTCCTGGAAAATCCCCATGGACAGAGGAGCCTGGTGGGCTACAGTCCATGAGGTCTCAGAGAGTCAGACATGACTGAGCGACTAAGCACAAAAAGTAGTTGTTTTGAGATACCTGGTCGGGCAGGAGGTGAGAAAGACAAGGATTTACAGATGTGAGCTGGAGAATCAAAGACCATGGTCAGAATTGATTTAACAAAACCTGTTTCTATGAGGGATTACAGGCTCAAAATTTGATGGCTCACACCATAACCCAAAGACATTCTAAGACATCTGGTCAGAACTGCCTCATGGTTACATTAAAATGCAAACCTCAATTTTAAGGTAAACAATACCATATTTCCATAATAATAGAAGAAAGGAACAGCTTAAGTTATTAAACTGTGCAGTCCTCTCTCCTTTTCTTATTATCACATCAACAGAAAGGGAAGAAGAATCTGCAAGATCTCAAGCAGAAGTCATTCTAGACACACTGCAAATAAAATTCATATTCTACTGCAACTGCCCACAATTTCCAACTTTGACTGGAAATGACATTTAGCTTGGAAGGAAAGGCGTGGCACATACATGTATTGTTTTATCAAAAGTAAAAAAGGCAGGAGGGTAAATTCAAAAGAAGAATATTGTTGTTATTTAGTCACTGAGTCATGTCTGACTTTTGCGGGACCCCATGGACTGTAGCCTGCCAGGTTCTCCTGTCCATGGGATTTCCCAGGCAAGAATACTGGAATGGATAGCCATCCCCTTCTCCAGGGGATCTTTCCAACCCAGAGATCAAACCGTCATTGCCTGCATTGGCAAGTGGATTCTTTACCCTGAGTCACTGGGGAAGCCCCTAAAGAATATTAAATAATATCTAATCATCTAACCTATAGATTTAAAAATGTATCTACATGCCTCTTTCAAATGTATCTACATGCCATCTTCATTCAACAACAACTATTTATCAAATATGAACTATTTGCCAGGCACTGTTCTAGGTGCTGGGGACGTATCAGTGAATAAAACAAACAAAAAGTCCTGCCCTCAGAGCTCCTTATGGATACTGCATTATAGCAAAGGGAGTAGATTACACAATATGCTAGAAATGCTATGGAGGCAAAAAACAGAGCAGGGTAAAAGAAAATGGTAGTGCTAATAATATTGGGGAAGGATAGGAATTTAGATTGTTTCATAGTTAATATTTGAACACTATTATCAGAAGTGAGAGTATGAGCCATGTGAATACAAAAGAAAGGAATATTCCAGACAGAAGGAACAATAAATGTAAAGGCTCTTAAGCAAAGCATATGTAACATGTACTAAGAACAGCAATGAATCCAGTGTAGCTAGAGAAAAGTGGGCAAGGGGAAGACTAGGATGGAGGGGAAAGTTTTGGCTTTTACTCAGAAATGTGGCCAGGTACCAGAAACTTTTAAACAGAGGTATGACAAAATCTAACTTATGTTTTGACAAAGATCACCTTAGCTATTGTATTGAGGATAGTCCAAATGATGGATAAAAAAAACTTCAGAAAAACATCCATTAAAGTAGATACTATGGCTCCCTCCCAAAGGTGCCTAATACTGAAGATTTCCATACAAAAAAATTAATAAAAATAAAAATTTGACAGGCAGCTGCCACTTCATAGAAGAAACAAACCCGGCACAAGATACTGAACTACTCACCAACGGGTACTCTACAAAATACTCAGCTGGGATTTGAAGGCCTGAGAGTATTTCCTAGATCTAATGACAGACTTCACTATAGCCTGCTATGACATTTCTAGGATATACTGTCCTGGGAAAACATTCCAATGACAGGTAATATCCACAAATTAATTCTGTGATGTAAACTGCCAATTAAAAAAATAAAAAATAAAATTATCAATTAGCCACCCTAATGCAACCTATCCATTGTTACTGATTTTGAAAGTTGAAAGCACAATAATTCTACAGTGCTAGTAAAATAATGATTAATATGTTTTCATATTCTATTTAAATAAAAATACTACACTAAATCTCAAAATCCTAAATATTTTTGAAATTTCATTTATCCAAAAACTATCTCATGTAATATAATTTAAAACATAGGGTCAAAAACTGAATTAAAAAGAAAGAAAAAAGAAATTACAGAGCCAAAGAATCTCTTTTTAAAAATATTTATTTATTTGGCTGCATCCAGTCTTATTTGCAGACACAGGATCATGCAGGATCGTCCCTTACAGCGCTCCGGCTCTCTAGGGCAAGTGGGCTTAGTTGCTCAATGGCATGTGGGATCTTAGTTCCCTGATCAAGGATGGAACCTGCATCCCTTGCATTGCAAGGTGAATTCTTAACCAATGGACCATCAGGGAAGTCCCAGAGTCATAGAATCTTAAAGGAGAATGTACATAACATCTTTAAAAACATTAACAGTGTGCATGTCAAAGAAAGTAATGAACCCCTTGTATTATGAATTTGTTAGATCACATCTGGCATCTTCTGTTCATTTCTGAGTGTTACATTAAAAGAGACTATAATAAAAGGGAGCATTTTCAGGATAGAAATAGCTAAAAATAAAAGGCGATAAAGAATAGAAATATATAAACTAAAAAAAGGAATAAAGGTAATAAAAATATTTAAGCCACAGAAAAACAGGTCTTAGAGTTTGGTAAAATGGAGAGTACACACACAACAAATTATAAATATTTGAAGGGAAGAAAAGTTATCATTATCTATACTTCTTCACATGATAGTCCCAAGACCAATGGATAAAAGTGATAGGGCATGTATCTTAGTTCAAAATGAGAAAGTTAACAAAATTTTGCAAAAGAGAAATAGGGCTGCCTCAGATACACAAACACAAAGATTTGTCAACCATTGAAAATATACAACTAGATGTGTCAGGGATTCCTGCATTAGGAAGTGGTTTTATCTGATTACTTACAAGATTTCTTACAATATTAAAATTCTGTGGTTCTATAACATAACAAGACTAAACTCAAGGAAGTTTCCTTGCATTACAACTGCATATGCTTATGAATTTTAAAAAAGGCATTCCTGAAATTTCTGTTCATTACATTCTATTTGTACATTAATTTCCCATTATAAGCTAGTACATAAGTTCCCCAAGAAAATTTTTCACCCTCCACACATAAAAAATCATATTTATGACCACTTGAAAATAAATCTATGTATTGGAAAAGCATTACTCAAGATAAAGTAGAAAATAAAAAATAAACAGCATGTTATATTGTGTAAGGTAGAAGTAACAGAAAGATGTGAAAATAGCTCACTGTTTTGAAGATTTGATTATGTTTCTCTGAGTTCATTGTCCTATAATAGCTAAAATGATATGTTCAAAGTAATTACTTTAAATTATTCCTATATTTCTACAATCAATTATATATAAAGGCCTCTTTCCATTTATCTTCATTCCAAAAGTGTTATAAAGTTACATGGGGATATAGAAGAAGGTCATTTTATTAATTCTACTGCATGTAGGCATGTACTCTCTTATCTCCTCTCTCTGAAGCCTTCACTGAAGTCCTGTAAAACCTTAAAAAAAATAACCTTACCTTTTCCTGATCTAAGAACTTTATTGTCCACAAAAAGGATAGACAATTGCTTAGTTGTCTGAAACTATTTTTTAAGATTTGTAAGCAAGTCTTCTGATCTCACTAGGACTAAGGAACAACCACGGTTTTTATTGTAGTTGTGAGCTAAAATCAGACATAAGCAAGGGTATCTTGAAATATCACTAAAGAGAACTTAGGCATATACCAAGCTTTTGTTTTTAATTAGAGTGAAATTCCATAAAGGAATTAATCTCCCGAAATATAAAGATATGTGTTATGCACATTACATACAATCAATACAACTATTTTACTCACCAATTCCATTAAATCTTTTAACTTCCCGATTTCTTCTGGAATGGATACCAGTTTATTATTACTGAGGACCAAAACTTTAAGGGGAAGATCGAATAGGTATTTTGGCAATGTTGATAAAAGATTTCGACTGAAAAGAATAAGAAAGTCTCATTATGAGAAATAAGTCTGAAATGAAGGATGTTGAAAAAGAACAAATCACTTCAAAAGTAGAATTTTTCACTAAATAACAACTATTATTTAATTAATGCTTACTTTGTAACAGACTAATATATTTACATGCACTGTCTCATTAAATCCTCATATTAACCTAAAAAGACAGGTGGTATTATCTGCATTATACAAATAAAATTAAAGGTTAAATTTGGTTAAGTCACTTGCCCAGGCACAAGCCTGCACTGTGACCTGTATTATTGTCCTACACATCATCAGCTCTCCAAACTCAAGAATTTTTCTGAGCTAGAGAAAATTCTAACTCAGAATTCTCAGAATTCTTCCAAGCTAAAGAATTGCCAGAACCTTGCTCTCTGGTATAATTTCACTATATTCAATACCTCCACACCTCTCACTATGGGAAGGCTCCAAGGATAAATTTGCATGCACTGTGTTCAAATTTATGAAAGAATGAATAGAATTATACCTTTAAAAATATGTAGTAACCTTAACCCATTCTCTTTTGTTGCAGGTTTATGGTAGAACAAACAGTCTATTAGCACCTTCATTTCAGCTCATAGTTGATACAATATTCCTGTCTCTGCAGATACATTTAAATATAAGGACAACTAACACGTGTTACTATGTAGCAGGCCATGTTCACAGCACCTCACATGAATTAACTTGACTAATCCTCACAACAACCCACTTCAGGAAGATAGATACTATCATCATGCCCATTTTACAGATGAAGAAAAAGTCTAAAAGAGATTAACTGCTCAAAGTCACAAAGCTGGTAAGTGAGAGAACCAGGATTCAAATCCAGGCGATTTGACTTTGGGTCCCTTACCCTCAAACTAATTTTGGCCAAATGTGCATGCCAATGTAGGCTGACCCAAACTATCCCTGCTGTAGACTAAATGTTTGTGTTCTCCCCACTCAAAACTATAATGTTGAAGCCTAATCCCCAATGTGATGGTACATGGAGGTGGGGCTTTTGGGAAGTGATTAGTGGCCTTAAAAAGAGACCCCAGAGAGCTCCCTTTCTCTTTACTCCATGTAAGGACTCAGCTAGAAGAGAGTCATCTATATAAATCAGGAAACTGGTCTTCACCAGACACTGAATTGGCTGGCACTTTGATCTTGAACATTTCAGCCCTCAAAACTATGAAAAATAAATTTCTGTTGTTTATAATCACCCACTCTACGGTATTCTGTTATAGTGCCATGAATGGACTAAGACAATCCTACTACCAAAGTATATATAAAGTGTACCACTACATTTACATACTATCATCATTCATTAGCAATTTGCTATTATCTTCCTTGCTTTTCAAAGTGATATTTATAGGCTGTGCATAGCATTTTGTATAACTACACAGCAATAAAACTCCAGTGTTACCCCAAGAGAGGGACTTCAAGCCCTTTTGCCCCATTCAAATAGATGGAGAAACAGTGGAAACAGTGGCTGACTTTATTTTTCTGGGCTCCAAAATCACTGCAGATCGTGACTGCAGCCATGAAATTAAAAGACGCTTACTCCTTGGAAGGAAAGTTATGACCAACCTGGACAGCATATTAAAAAGCAGAGACATTACTTTGCCAACAAAGGTCCGTCTAGTCAAAGCTATGGTTTTTCCAGTGGTCATGTATGGATGTGAGAGTTGGACTATAAAGAAAGCTGAACGCTGAAGAATTGATGCTTTTGAACTCTGGTGTTGGAGAAGACTCTTGAGAGTCCCTTGGACTGCAAGGAGACCCAACCAGTCCATCCTAAAGGAGATCAGTCCTGGGTGTTCATTGGAAGGACTGATGCTGAAGCTGATACTCCAATACTTTGGCCACCTCATGCAAAGAGTTGACTCATTGGAAAAGACCCTGATGCTGGGAGGGATTGGGGGCAGGAGGAGAAGGGGACGACAGAGGATGAGATGGTTGGATGGCATCACCAACTCAATGGACCTGGGTTTGGGTGGACTCCGGGAGTTGGTGATGGACAGGGAGGCCTGGTGTGCTGCAGTTCATGGGGTTGCAAAGAGTCAGACACGACTGAGCAACTGAACTGACCGATACCTTCAAAGGATGTCCAGAAACACTAGACTGGTTTAATCACATGGCACAGACTTCAATAAAAAAGGCTAATGCCCCAAGACCAGAAATCCTAGCCAGACTGTTGGAATGTCAAATATGCAAGGTGTTTGTCACAGCTCTTGCACTTTAGGGATCAAGTACAGTCCTTGGGAAAGTGGTCTGTCTGGAGCACAAAGGGTCTTCCTGAGGATTCTACTGAAAAGAAGCATAGTATACAGGAAGAAAGAATAAGCTAAAAATTATCTTACAAGTTTCTCAAAATCTTTTCACCAAAATAAAAAATAAATAAATAGGAAAAAGAGTGGCACATACAAACTCAATCTAATCTCCCTCATACCAAGAAAGTTTAAAAATTGGTTTCTTTTCTTCCCTTAAGAAGCAGGTTTATTGAGTTAGCAGTCAGCTCTCTATTTCTTTATACTTAGTTAATAATCATAAATCTTCACTTTTGACACATGCTTTAGAGATAGCCAAAGAAAGCCAGTCATTAGAACAAGTGTTATTTTAATATAGTGAGTTTAAAACATTTTGTGTCTGTAAACAAAAATTACAAGTCAACTTTTAGAGATCAAAATGGAAAAGAATCACAAAAAGTTTTAGTAAAACTATTCTAAGACGTACCATAAATGTTAATGTATAAATGCAATTCAATTTTTGACAAATTGCTTTTTCCATAAAAGAACAAAATAAAATGATAATAAAGACAAAAAATTTAAAAATACCTCACTTTCCTCAAACCTTTCCCAAGCCAGGCCAAGGAGATTATGTACCCAGTTAGAGAAAGGAGCAACCCAAATGACCAATATCTATGGAAGGAAATTACTCTCACACATTTTAAGGTTAAAATGGTTTCAGTTAAAGTAATATGTACTGCCAGGTGACACCACTGAGGGAGATATACATAATAAATATCACATAGAAAGGAATATTATCATTTACATATGTTAATTCTATTTACTACTTCCCTATTTGAGAATTTAGACAAGTAACTTCATTAAGGAAGAAGTTTTCCCTTATAATTCAAAACATAAAACAAAAATAAGAATAAGATTCTGAAATTAAGTCACAATATACCAGTTTCCATTCACTGTCACTCATTTGGTAGGGCAATTTTTTTCTTATACTTATTCAATGTTCAGTCTATTATAAAAACAGCATAAAGCTAAGAATGAGAGTTCTACAGCCATACTGCTGCTTTGATTAGAATCTTGGCTCCACCAGTTGCAGTATGTGTAATTTTGAGCAAATAGTTAACCTCTGTGCTTCAGTTTCCTCATCTGCAGTGCAGGGATAATAACCACATTATCTGAAAATGTTGTGAAGATGAGATGAGGTAATACGGGTAAAGTATTTTTAACACTGCTTGGTACACGGTAAGAACTAATTATTAACATCAACTATTATCTACGCCTAACCTTCCAATAATCCCATCCCAATCTATCCATCCTTGAGGTAGCAATAAGAAGTCACAAGAGTGAAAAACATAACTCAAGAACTGTTTATTTATAATGTTCCACTTTAATTGGGGATGCTAATAAATAAACCTGTGTTGTGGTGCTATGATTTCAACAAAATATTTCTGGTCTAAAGCCATGGTACTCAAAGTGACCTAAGGACCAGCAGGCATGGGCAGTACCAGAGAGTTAGAAATGCTGGCCTATGAAATCAGAATCTGCATCTGGTTCCTGTGGGCACTGAAGTTTGAGAAGCACTGCTCTTGCTCAAGAACAAGACCAAAAACCTATAAAGTAATATGGACATATAGAAAATACAAATAAGATACTGTAGAGACATAGGTTACATAGCCAAACCAATTACATTCCTTTGCAACTAAAACGAATTATAACTGTATTAAAAAAACAAAATTTATTCCCCCCAAATTGTTTTCTTACCTAATGTTAAGGTATGTTAACATCTGAAGGTTTTTAATGGCTTCAGGAATGATTTTGATGCAATTATGATATAAATTTAATGTTTCAAGAGGTGCAAATAACCAGACCTCAGAAGGAATTTCTGTAAAACGATTTCTTGAAAGATCTGAAAAATAAAAGTAATGTCTGCATGTCAAACATACACCTATATTTGTGGTAATTAACAGAACTATTTACACACTTGCTGAATCACTAAGAATCCAACCAACTATTCAAAATACTGACCTTGACCTTTTGCCTTAAGGCAAAAAATACGTAGAAATATATACATGGAAAGTCTGTTCATTAATAAACTGCACTTGATATACTTCAGTATCTTTAAATATTATCTTTTAAAATACCAATGAAGAATTCTGATATTTAAAAACATGAATAAAACCATCCCTGATCCCACATCCCCCTCTATCCACCTCTTCCTCCTTTACAGCAAAACTTAAATAAATTTACAACATAATTATATTTAATACTTACCATGGACTTTTCAACCAATTATAATTTGCCTTCTATTCATTTTTATATCTACCAAGGTCACTAATAGCCTCCATAACAACCACCACTCATCCATTTGGAAATACTCCTTTTCCCTTGGCCTGGAAAACTACACTTCTGGATCATTTCCTATTAGCTCCCTGGCTGCTACTAAGTCTCTTGCTAGATTCTCCTCTACCCATACTGTGAATGTTTTTGTTCCTAAGGACTCTGATATAAGGTACTCTTTCCTTAAGACATACTCTATTAGATGATTTAATCCAAAACTAGGGTTACTATTCATATACTGACAATTTCAAATTAAATACATGTTTGAACACTTATGTGCTAATCTTTAGGACTTCCCCTTCGTATCTCTCAGGTACCTCAAATTCTGCAAGTGCAAAATCTTAACTGAAGATCTTCCACGTATCTGTTTCTCTCACTTTAGATAATGTCACCAACATTCTCCTCATGAGCTGCTCAAGCCAGAAACTTGGCATTTACACTTGATTCCTTCCTCTCCTAAACTATTGCAAGTACAAACAAATAATTCTATTCACTTAAGTTTTCACATGCACACACAAAAACAGAATTATTATAACTATTGTACATCTATTGATACTTTGTTAAATGAAATTTTGAAAAATACTTAGGATATCTTGTGGCAGGTTGGAAAAAAATACCCTAAAAGAGTTTCTCAACCAAAGTATTATTGACTTTTTGCTTGTATAGCTATTTGTTGTATGGAGCTATCAAGGGCATTATAGGATATTTAGCAGCATCTCTAACATCTATCTACTAGATGCCAGGTAACACCCTCTAGTCATGGTAGTCAAAAAACATCCCATGGAATATAAACCATCCTACCCCTGTTGAGAATTTCTGCCTGAACAATTATCAAATTAGCTATCTTACCATAGGAATATACTTTGCTAAGGGCTTCCCAGGTGGTGCTAGTGGTAAAGAACCCACCTGGCAATGCAGGACACTTAAGAGATGCAAGTTTGAACCCTGGGTGGGAATGATTCTCTGGAGAAGGAAATGGCAACCCACTCCAGTGCTCTTGCCTGGAGAATCCCATGGACAGAGGAGCCTGGAGGGCTACAGTCCACAGGGTCACAAAGGGTCAGACATGACTGAAGCAACTTAGCACGCACGCACACACACATACTTTGCTAACACTATTTCATTATACTTATTTGGTTAAAAACATAAGACTATCATTTACCTTTATCAAGAAAAACATCTGTGCAGTTAGGGAGTTTGGAATCAACATGTACACGCTGATGCTGCTGCAGCTAAGTCGCTTCAGTTGTGTCTGACCCTGTGCAACCCCACAGACAGCAGCCCACCAGGCTCCTCTGTCCCTGGGATTCTCCAGGCAAGAACACTGGAGTGGGTTGCCATTTCCTTCTCCAATGCATGAGAGTGAAAAGTGAAAGTGAAGTCTCTCAGTCGTGACCAACTCTTAGCGACCCCATGGACTGTAGCCTACCAGGCTCCTCCGTCCATGGGATTTTCCAGGCAAGAGTACTGGAGTGGATTGCTATTTCCTTCTCCACTACTATATTTAAAATGGTTAACCAACAAGGACCTACTGTAGAGCACAGAGAACCTTGCTCAATGTTATGTAGCAGCCTGGATATGAGGGGAGTTTGGGGAAGAATGGATACATGTATACGTACAGCTGAGTCCCTTTACTGTCCACCTGAAACTATCATAACATTGTTAACTAGCTATGCTGCTGCTAAGTCACTTCAGTCGTGTCCGACTCTGTGTGATCCCATAGACGGCAGCCCACCAGGCTCCCCCGTCCCTCGGATTCTCCAGGCAAGAACACTGGAATGGGTTGCCATTTCCTTCTCCAATGTGTGAAAGTGAAAAGTGAAAGTGAAGTTGCTCAGTTGTGTCCGACTCTTAGCAACCCCATGGACCGCAGCTTACCAGGCTCCTCCATCCATGGGATTTTCCAGGCAAGAGTATTGGAGTGGGGTGCCATTGCCTTCTCCTGTTAACTAGCTATACTCCAATATAAAATAAAAAGTTAAAAGAAGAACATCTATGGTGTATCTTAGGCCACTGTACCTCATTTAGCATCTGGTCTGCCCACATAAGAACAGCTTCCTACCAACACTAAAATTCCTCACTCTGAGGGATGAGACCTATTTATTTAGCAGTAAAATAATTTGCTATTAAGAATATCAATATACATGTATGTTTTTATGCATGTGTGTATACATGCACACACTCATTCGCCTAATGCAAAATTCTGTAACTGGCTAAAGAAAATATTAGTTATGATTATATAAAAGTTAATTTGGATTCTTTTTCTTCTCACCAAAAGACTCTGAATAACTAAATAAAAGGACAGATAGAATTATTAGAAATCAAAATCTGAACCTCAAATAGAAGTTTTCAATTTACTGGCTCACCTCCTCTAGATACCCAGGCATCATGTAGTTCTATTGAGGGGGAAAAATTTAAGACTTCTTTTTTCTAGTTTAGAATATTTCTTTTACATTTGACTTTTACCTCTTATCTTTGTAACTTCAGAATTCTAGGAGTTGAAAATTACTGCTTACAGTTAATTTGAAATCCTAAAAACAAATTCTGCCCAGTTTGTTTTTCTGTATAATATTTAGTAAGTACTCATAAATAACACAGTGGCCCTAGACTTAGATGATGGTAGCTTGCATGGAGATGGCAAGAATAAGGATAAAAAATAGAATTTGAAATGTATTTTGATATTAGTACTTATAGGAATTGGGCAAGTAATTGTCTATGTGGGATAAATAAGAGACAGTAATCAAGAATGGAACCCAGAAAAGACTGGGAGGAGAACAAGATGGCAGAGAAGTAGGATAGAAGGGCTTGCAGAACACCAGCTGAGAGCTGACAGGAGTACCTGATCACCAGAAAAGAATATACAGAGCCAATCAAAACTCAGTAGGATGAAGGAACTAGGAGGAAAAACAGGAGTATTAGTAGGAATGGACCTGCCCTCGGTGAGTGGGGGAACTGAAACAGGGGTCTAATTCCCACATCAAGGCAATTGTCTGGGTCACAGGAGAAACATTTAAGGCTGAGAGTGAAGCAGCTAATCTGTGGTAGCCTAAATGGAATGAGAATCAGACAGTCCTTGCCGCAGCCATATGTACCCCGGAAAGGGACGCAAGTCCCCTAGAAGGCACAGCAGCTGGGAGCTGGGAATAGGGATTGTAGAGCAATCCCAGGGTGAGGGCTGCTGTTGACTACAGAGAGATGGACCAAGGGGACCTGAGGGAGGAGACTGTGGTAGGAAATGCCTGTGGAGGAAAGCCAGGCAGCCATGGAAGCAAGGTGACACTGCTGAGTCATGCATAGGGGGTGGAGCCATCACCACAGCCTCTCTCTCCCCATAGGCCAGCACCCACAACTAACAATAGAGAGCCTGGCCCATCAAGCGCCTGATGCACCCAACAACAGAGAAGGACCCCAGACAAGGGAGCCCTCTAAGTGCCTGAACAGGTGGAGCTATGGAGAAAGACTAGCCAAAGAGGCCTTCTGATCACCAGCTACCAGAGGCTTGAAAAAAAGACTCTGATAGGGCCATAAATCCTGTGGCTGAGGCAGTCTGTGTCCCTGCACACTTGGCACAGCCAGGGTCCCTGCAACCCAAGCAGCTGTGCCACCTTCATGCTTAACCCTCACTGGGGCAGACACAAGTCTTCCAGGACAGCCTCAGGAGCAAACCCCAGTGGACGACCCACATACACAGGTAGAAATAAAACCACAATTGAAACCCAGAGGCAGCGTGGCTAAGGAAAAAGACCCAAAACCTTCTCACCAGCTTTACAAGTTGCAGATTAAATCCACATGATCAACTAGGCAGCCTGTGTCTATGGAATATATAAAAGGACATTGAGAATTCTCACAAGAGAAAATCCACTAATTCTGATAGCTGTGGACATTGGAGGCAAGAACACACAGGAGTAGGACCAGATTAGAGTCTGAGCTGCCCCCACTGCAGATCTGGAGACCAAAACAGTGCTGGAAGGCATCCTAGGTAGGCGAGGTGGACTATGACTCCCAGCAAGGGAAAGAACCGTGACAGCAGTGACTCAAGAAAAACATTTATTCTTCTTATATTTTGACTTGTTCTGTAGTTTCTTTGGGTTTTTTTTTCTTTCCTTTTTTCCCCCTCTGTTGTAGTTGCTGATTTTATTAGCACTATGAAATATAACTAAGCTTTTGAGTTTTTTTTTTCAATCACACTTTTTATTCCTGTTATAAACCTCTACCTCTACGTTGGCCTTTTACAGCTCTGTGGAGTTTTCTTTCTTCTTTTCTCTTTTTTTTTAATTTTAATTTTTAAATTTCTTAAACCTACTATTTTTTTTCTACATTTATTCCTTTGTTTGCTTTTTCTACTGTTCCTTTCCCCTTGCAGTTAATTTTATATATATAAATATATATATATTCTTTATCTATCTCTATTTAACTTTGCATATTTACTCTTTCTTTCTTTTCTTTCTTTTTTCTCACCATATTTGTTAGTTTTGCTTTCATTGCTTTATTCCCCAGTTGGCACCTTGCTTTAGTTTTGTTTTCCAGTTTGTGTTTCAGTTAGTTTTGTTCTTAACTGGTGGATATCAG